AAAAAACATTTTATGTATATATAAAACATTACTACAGAATCTATATTCTGACACATATACATGTATACACACACACACATATATACGGCTCTGGCTCTTCTGGCTTCTGTTGGTTGTCAGCAATCTTTGACGTGCCTTAGCTAATAAGGGCATTATTACAATCTTTACCTCTGCCTTTACATCACCTTTTTCTTTCTTTTTTTTTTTTTTGTCTCTAAGACTGTCCCCAACTTATGATAGTTCAACTTATTATTTTACTTTATGATCACGTGAAAGTGATACATGTTCAGTAGAAACCATACTTTGAGTATTAAAGTTTGATTCAAATTTTTTATAACTTTTTAATAAAATAGGTTTGTGTTAGATGATTTTGTCCAAATGTGGTCTAAGGTAAGGTAAGGTAAGGTGTTATTAGCACATTTAAGGTTGTCTAGGCCAAGCCGTGATGTCCCATAGGTTAGGTGTATTAAATGCAATTTTTGACTTATGATTTTTCAACTTATGATGAGGTTTGATGGGGACGTAACCCCATCATAAGTTTAGGAGTAACTGGGTGATACACCTATGATTCACTTTTGTAAAGACACCAGTGATTGGGTTTTGGGTTCACCCAGGTAATCCAAGATGATCTTAAGACCATTAAGTTAATTGCACCTGCAAAGACCTTTTGTCCAAAACAGGTTACATTCAGAGTTACCAAGAGTTACAATTTGAACATATATTTTTGGGAGCTATCATTCAACCTACTAGAGTAGACTATATGTACATGTAAGTGCATGTGTGTATGTGTATATATATGTACATATGAATACATATGTATTATTGCAGAAAAGTATGTAGCTACATAGATCTGATTAAAATTTTGAAAGATTGAAAAGTGTGGAACGAAATTTGTTTCATTAATGATGCTAAAATTAAGCTTATATGTAATATTATATGTTCAAATCATACTTTCACAGCTGATGAAAACATTACATTCAATCAAATAAATTTCATAGAAATAAACAAATATTCACCCAGAATTGTTGGGGAAATACAGATACAGACATGAAATACAGATATACAGAATACAGAATGATGGAATACAGATATGAAACCAACCAGAAACAGCTGATCCTTAACGGAGTAATAAGTTTATATTTACATTATCTGCTCTGCCCCTGTCTTTGAAAGATATCAGATATTTATTCTTTAGGTACTGCTATCAAATCAGTTCAGAAAAGCAGACAATGCTAAAGTAAAGACACGTCAAAAAGAATGTTCTTTATATAACACAAGAATAAGGATGGACTTAAACACATTTTGAAACTAGAGGAAATGGTAGTAAAAAAGATTCCATGTTTCCATCTTGAATTATAAATCTACATTTTTGTTTATTTATTTATGGTTGAGGGTGAATACACAAGCTAGTATAAATTTTTTAAGTCCATCTTGTTTTCGGTTGTCTGGGTATCTAATATTTCACACTTGGGCTCATTCTACCATGTAGTTGAAGACTTCTAGACAACTACTCTGTAATATGGCTGCTCTTCTGCAGATAGGATTTACCCATAGTGTTGAATCTGCAAGAATTATACTCCATGTGTCTATATCAGGGTTTTTAATGCTCTCAGGACAAGTTATCAATTGTTTAAAACCCATATCACCATTGAATCCACTTCTTTGCTAGGAATAACTATATTATAGTAGCAGTATCATTTTGTATAATGTTTTGAAAGAAAAGAATTATTGCTCCATATAGGAAACTTCCATTACTGAAAAAAATATGGAATATACTTTATTTTCTTAGCTGCTGGTATAAAATTTCTCTTTGTGCAGACCTATCTTTTTTGAGATAATAGAATATCGCTGATGAAGACTAAGTTCCACAGTGCCTGACTGTATTTGGACTGCTGTTTTGGTTAGAAAGAGTGTAGAGGAACTTCTCATTCACACCTGTGGAAGGAACATATTTGTTCCTAAGAGGTAGTAGAGAAAGAAAACATTGGAGGTAAAGCATCAAAGACAGAAATAAAGAACACTATCAAGAAAGCAAAAAGACAATCCACAGAATGGGGGAAAGTATTTGCAAACCATGTATCTCATAAGGGTCTAGTATCTAGAATATATAAAGAGCACTTACAGCTCAACAACAAAAAGACAACTCAGTTTAAAAAGGGCCAAGGACTTGTAGAAATGTTTCTCTAAGTATAGAAATGGCCAACAAACTTAACATTATTCACTGTTTGAGAAATGCAAATCCAAAGCAAATTGAAATCTCACATCATGGATGATATCTACTAGGATAATTTTAATTGAAAATGAAAACAAACAAACAAAAAGTGGAAAATAACTGTGTGTTATCAAGAATGTGGAGAAATTGGAGCCCTTGTACATTGCTGATGTGAATATAAAATTGTGCAATTGTCCTTGATAAGTTAAATATAGAATTACTATATGATCTAGAAGTTCAGCTCCTGAGTATATATCCAAAAGATTTGAAATCAGGAGTGCAAACAAAACTTGTTCACAAATATTCATAGCAGCACTATTCATAATTGCCAAAAGATGGAAAAAAACAAATATTTATTGCTGAATGCATAAAATGTGGTACATACATACAATGGAATATGGTTCAGCAATAAACAGAAATAAAGTACTGATACATGCTACAGCACAGATAGACTTTGAAAATAAGCAAAGTGAAAGACGCATAATATAGAAGGTTACATATTGTATGATGCCATTATGAAATCATAAGTAGGCAATTTCATAGAGACATAAAACAGATTATACTTGGTATTGGGTTCCTTTTTGTTGTGATGCAAATATTCCAGAATTAGATAGTGGTAATGACTGCACAGCACTGTGAATGTACTAAATGCCACTCGTGGCGAATTTTATGATATGTATTTTATCACCATAAAAATGAAAAAAATAAACATGAAAATACTTGGGAAAAAGGAAGAACAGAAAGAAACCTAGGAAATTGCTAGGTGAGCCATGCAATACCTTCTTCTTTCCACCATGACCGTATACTTTGGTCTTTTCTAAAAACTAATTAAATAAGTGAATGGATTCCTTTGGGAAATTGGTGTCAAAACTGAGTTAACATTATGCCCCCATCATCAGCCTGTGTAGGTGGGGGCAGCAAATGTGTGATATACAGATTTAATTTAAAAATTGTTGAACATCTCTTTATCGCTATTCTAAAACTTGGGAACTGTACAGCAATATAGCAAGATTACTGTCAGAATCTATCCCCATAGTCATGCTTTCCTAAAAATAATGCTCAATGTTCTCCCTCATCCTTCCCCCTGTGACGCTGTGGAGGAAGCCTTAAATATTAAATTCGAACTCAATTGAACATGGACATAAACGATGATCACCAAGTCCTGGAACAGGTTGTGTGAGCCCCTTGAGGCGTTCATCCAGTGCTGTTTTGGAGAAATCTCTATTTCAATCTATTCCTATATGCTAGTTATTGGAAAACAATAGACAATCACAAAAACAAGTTGACCTTTTTGTGTTCCTTGAGCCCAGTCACGAAGGGCCCTCACAACTGGGCCTCATGCCATGCAACCTTTTACAAAATAAGTTAGGGTCCCAGACTGCGCTGAACCTTCATGAGACCTCTTCTCATCTGTGCATGGATGGGTGGCCGACTCTGGAGCCCAGGCTGTTGCTTCCCAGTCTGGTGGTGAATCCTCCAGTCTGGTGAGAGTAAATATATACCTTTTCCCTTCTCCCTTTCCCATTGCAATTTGCTTATCATTTGCTTTTTGTATCATTTGCTTATTAAATCAATTTGCTTATTATATTACTTTGCTTATTATATCATTTGCTTAATATATCCCATTGCCATTTACGTAGGATAAAGCTTGTTTACCCTTAAAGGTATTGTGTGTGTGCCTTTTCTTTTCCCCTTGCATGTTTCCCGCACAGAACAGACACGTACAGGCATATCCCTATCGAAAACTCAGGGACTTTCCCTGACTGGTTTCAGGTATTTCATGACATCAAAAAACTCACCATCTTGTCAACCCTACCAAACTTTATAAACTATGTGTTGGTTTGGTAGGGTTGCCACATTAGTGCTCTTCTCCTGTTTTTGGTTACCAGATTTGTTCCCTGTGTCTAAATTACTGTCTTCCAATTTTTCTAGGAAGCACCTCTCACCATCTTTTATTAAAACTACTTACCCTTTCCTCTGAAACAAAGCACAGACAGCCCTGAATCTGAAACCCAGGTCTTTGGCCAAAAACTTGCTTCCTACTGCCAAATATGCCTAATGCCTCCTGCCTCATTGAATTGCTAAATACTGTCTGCTTTTAATTTCTCTGCTACTTCGCTCCCCTCTTCTGTCTGCCAGGACACTGTTATTTCATGCTGGTCCACCCTCAAAACCTGTGATTGTTGGGGCCATGATTTATTACTATGATTATTTTAATAGTAACAGACATATTGATGACTAACATTTATTTTGTAGTATGTACAAGGAAGCATAGTAAACACTTTAAATATCTGATTTCCTTTTCCCATCAGACAGGCAACTAAGGCTTATTTCATAGATTATAGCAATTTCCCAGGGTCACTCAGCTTGTAAATTCATGAGCTAGAACTTGAACTTGGGTTGTTCTGGCCCCAAAGATGGTGATTTTCAATTATTATAACATATTGTTAGGTCTAGGGCTCATCACTGCACTACGGCCACTGTTACATTAAAGCAGTGTTCCTACAAAAGCCCAGCTGGTGGGAAGGCTGGAGGTGAGTCTTATTTGGATGATGGGCTCCAGACCATGGCTGACTGGGGATAGATGTTTGAATTTTGACTTAACTAAACTGTCACAAAGACCCCAAAGGGGTTTCAAGGAGTGTGCATTATGAAACATGGTGTGGACTATTGGAACATGATGTCAAAGAATTGTTGACACTCATAAAAAGTTCCTTTGAGTACATTGTTTTTGATATAGGTGAAAATGGAAGATAACTATTTACTTGACATCCCTCTTAAGGTGTTTGTCCTACGTGTCAAGCAAGTTCTCAAAATACACGGAATTGGGATACCTACAGAGTGCCTTTGTTATAAAGGCATTTGAGATATAAGATCCATATATATTGACAATTCTTATTGGTAAGTATATTTTGAAACTATGAAGAGCTTTGCCAAACAGTATACACAAACAATTGTGCTATTTTATTTTTTTCTAATGCATGTTATTTATTTCAACTTGTTGTAAATGTTTCTAACATTTGGGAATTTGTTTTTAAAACTTCGTCTTTCATTCCATCCTATTACACTCAGGTAATCTGCCAAGTTCCTAGAGTACTGAAAATTCAAATAAAGCTACTCATAGCCTCAAAATAAAATACATTTCTCTCAAGAATTATTTGATTGTAGAAGGATTTTCCTATAGGTGTCTCTGTAGAAGAATTCATTATTTGGTAATACCGCAAAGGCTGCACAGATCTGGAGGAAAGTATTAGATGAATTGTGGTCACATTTGATTAGATTTGGACCTGAGGGAATAATTCCATACATCAAGGTAACAGGAGAATGAGCTCATCTGCGGTGCTTTGTCCCTGATGAATTTCACTCTCTACTAAACATGAATAGTTAATTTTTAAGGAGGATACAAGAAGCACATGCATACCACATTTAGAGGTGAAACTATTTAATCTCATACTTTGCTATAAAATGTATTTTAGGTCTAATCACTAGAAACCAGAAAATAGCTTTTGCTGTTACAGTGAGTCAGTAATTTATGTGACTCTGACAAGTTAAAATTGCCTAGCTTGCACATCTAAAGGGAAATTTAAAAATTAGTAACAGGAAATGATATATTCTTGTCAGGGAAAAATAAATACTATAATTCTAACTTACATGTGAAGTATTTATGATGATCTTGGGATTTTTTCTTGTTTATATATTTTTTTTTCTTATTTGGATTTTCAAAGGAATTTATTAGCTGTTTTGCTATTTTTCTATGCTTAAAATTTTCCAAGGATATGCATTTAAGATTCTATATTTTACTGTAGTAGGAACAGCAAGCAATGGGTTTAAGGAAGAGACTCTAGAAAGAAATATTTATTTTATGTTAAGTGTTTTGTTAAACTATAGATTACTTTTATCTCATTACACACTTACTTTTCAGGGTAGATGTAACAGGATTTCAAAGTAGAAATCCTCTTGTCTCAAATTTAACTGAGGCTCTGATGTCAAAGAGCAGAGCAATAGGTCTGAACCAAGTGGTTTGACCACACCTATGCAGAACTGGCACAGAAGGTGCCTGTTGTTCTGATTTGCATGTCTCACCTCAACATCCACGTCAATAATATTTAAGTGGTTAGAGAGGGAAAGACAGGGAAAGTATTTGAATTTCTTTGGACAGTGGTAGTATTCATATGAGACGAGTGATAAATATTTATTCCACATTTTAAGCCATCAAAAGGGTATTTTAAGACTCGGGGAACTTGACTTTGTACCTTATGAGATATTGAGACAGATGCCAGACTGTTATCTATGAAGGTCCAAATATATGAGTTTGTGGTTATGGTTACCTAGTTGCTACAAGAGCATGGAGAGTTAAGTTGGGAAGTAGCTGCCCTTCCGCTTGTCAAATGTTAGTGTTTGGGGGGAACTAGTTGTGTATATTTTGATGGGAGCTAGCAAGAACTTAGTTTGGATTATACCAAAACAGGGCTGTGTAAGAGATGATGGGACCCCAATACAGAGGATCTTCTTCCAAATGCTCACTTAGTCACTCATTCATTCAACAAATATTTATTGAACATCTTCTACATGCCAGGCATAATTCCAGGTACAGGAGATGTAGTAATGAATAACATGGGTAATTTTTGCCTTCTAAAATCTTATAGTCTATTGAAAAGGACAGAAAATAAGGAAATGTGTAAAACTGTGAAAAGTACTTTGGCCAAAAATAAACCATTGAGTAGGGGAAGAAAGGTCTAGTAGAAGGTGGTTAACAAGGGCCTGAATTCAGGAGGAATCTGAAGTGACCAGCCACCTCAGAAAAGATGCATTGGCTGCATCACAGGGAATCTACCTGGACATTTACAGGGAGTTGGGGGTGAACTCAGAGAAACCAAAAATATCCAAGGTGAGAGTCAACTTTCAACCATCTGCCAAGCCTAGAAAAGACAAATATCATTTCAAAATGGGACATTTCCTCATATCTCTCCTCTCACCTTACCCATCCGAATACTGGAGAAGCCAGGGGTGAACTAATGGGTGGTGATATGGTTTGGCTGTGTCCCCACCCAAGTCTCACCTGGAACTGCGCTAATCCCAACATGTCAAGGGCATGGCCAGGTGGAGATAATTGAATCATGGGGGCAGTTTCCCCCATACTGTTCTCATGGTAGTGAATAAGTCTCATGAGAGCTGATGGTTTTACAAATGGGAGTTCCCCTGCACAAACTCTCTTGGCTGTCACCATGTACGATATGCCTTTGCTTCTTGTTTGCCTCCCACCATGATTGTGAGGCCTCCCCAGCCATGTAAAACTGTGAGTCCATTAAACCTCTTTCCTTTATAAATTACCCAGTCTCAAATATGTCTTCATTAGCAGTATGAGAACAGGATAATACAGGTGGAAAGATGGGAGACTGGGGGATCAGAAGGAGAGGAAGATTAGCAGAAAAAGGGGGAATAGGGAAGTAGACCACACTGGCCTTTCCCACTTCTGTTTCAACCCTGCAGAACACTCAAGGTGTGGGAGGGGAATGTTGGAACCTCAAATGAAAGTTGGAATTTTGATTGTTCAATTGCACTCACATTGTAATGAAATGAGAGTGAGCTTGCTTCTGACTGGAAACATACTGAGGACTTTTTTTTAAATCTAAGAGCAACTGGAAAAGTCATGGGACTTCTGTGAGAGTCCATGTTAGAAGTAACTAACAACTAATGCACCAAGGTCGTTTGAAAGGAAGTGGGAGGAAAATAAAATTGCTTAATGATCAAGTCCTATTAAGTTCTACTCTCTTAACTGTGGCAGTCAGCGTTACTAGAGGAGTAATGAAGCTTAGAGAGTGAATTAACCTATTCAAGTCCATACAACTAAGAAATGATGGAGCCCGAAGGCAAACATAGGAAAATCGAAGCTCTAATTGACTTGTGTGGAAGAAGTACTCTGGCCCCAATGCCTTGAAGCAGAAGAGCATTCAAGAATAAGACTTTCTTTATGAAGGATTCTTTTCCCTTAAAGTCCTTTAAGGGCCACACAGATTGAGGTTCAACACACGTTGTGTATTGAAAAGGGAAACATTTCTTCACTGAATGTATAGTCTTGAATGTGGTAGCATCATTCCCCCACTTCCCTAGATAGGATTGGCCGATAGTGTCTTCCACTGCTTCTTTGTCCCATATGCCCAACCTGATCCTCACTCATTAGAAATGCAGGGTGTAAGTCTGAACTGGTATTAACGTTGACATAGATTCACAATGCACTTTCATCGAACTGATTATTTGATCTCACAATAATCCTAAGAAGAATAAGTATTTTTATGATTACTTTGTCATAATAATAAAAAATAAAACTGAAGTTAAAAGAGGATAAAAACTTAATCTAAAGAGTGAATTGCCCAGGGTCATAATACTACCAACTATTAGAAACAGACCTTGAGCATTCCTCTTCTAGTTCACAGTTAAATGTTCTTAAGGGAAACTTAAGAAGATTAAAGAGAGCACTGTTACCATAGTAGATAAAATACTGTGTCTGAACCAGATATGCTAAATATTTTTCAGTTTTTGCTACTTTTAAATTTAATATTTGCTATACTTTAGTCTTTTTTAGCTATACAAATTCCCTCTGGCACTCTACTGAGAACAGTTGTTTGTTTGAAGGTTTTGTTTAACTTCAATTTTTTTTCTGTCCTTGTGCTTCCCTAATTTCTAAGTCAGAAAAAAGCGAAACGTTTCTCTCATTAACGTGTATAGCCTACTCCCAGTGTTTCATGTGTAGTAAGAAAATTCACTTGTGTACTATTGCTTCCTAAAGAAAAACTGCTAAGGCTTTACTAAAGGTGATTCTAACAGGTGATAATATTCTAACAGGTGATAAATATTGAAAATTCTAACGGGATAAATATTGAAAGAACTTAGCCAGTGGATCCAAAAGATGAATTGCAAACAACCAAGTTGAAATTTTTGTTTTTATTAATGTACACACATTTGAGATGTGTTAATAGATGTAATATGCATTAATTAAATCTTCACCAAGTTATAATCAGTAAAAGGAACTTTAAGATTGTAATGTTGAAATATCATAAGAATCTTTACCTATAAATGTGCAATCATTTATTAAATAACTTTTTCATTTAATATATACTTAATGTCTCCACCTATTGACCTACTATTGTTTCTGTTTTGGAGTTGCTACTATATAGTATGCAAAAAACTGAAAATCTTTTTATAGAATTGAAAATAGAAATAGACTACTGAAATGACCAAGTTATAATGATTACACAGATGTGTATATATACTCCCGTATGCATAAAAAATATTACAGTGCTTATGTCCTTCAAGGGCAAATGTATTATTAGGCCATTCATCAGTTGACTAGAACTTAGGGTGTTTGATAATGACAGTGCTTACTTTTTGAAAAAAAAAAAAAATTTGCAGATTACTAAAGTTGAGGTTAATATTTTACAAGGTACTTCACAATTTTTTCACTATGAATTATCGTCAGTGTTATCAACATAAAAGAACTCTCTCAAGTGAAATGCTCAGATTAAATGAGGATTACATGCTTTTCCATTACTTTTCTTATCTTTATATTCTATTTGTAGCTATATATACAGATATCCTTGAAATTAGAAATACAGCCAAAGTGTTTTCTTCCTAATAAAATCACATTTTAAATGAATATTAATATGACCAACATTTTATTTTTAAACTTTTTATTACAGATATTTTTAAACATCTGCCAATTCAGAGAGAATAGTATAAAGGGCATTCATATTTCCATTAAACAGCTTCAACAAATGGCCAATATTGTTTTATCTATTCCTTCCACTTTGTAATTATTTTGAAACAAACACAAGACATATTAAAACTTATTCTTAGCAAACTATCACAAGGACAGAAAACCAAACACCACATGTTCTCACTCA